GGGCCAGGCAAAATGAAACAGTAGCTTGTATATATAAATTGTTACATGTACATACCTTCATACAGCGGTCATGTCTAACTGCCCCTAACAGGGCAAGGGAGATAACCATTTTGTTCTCATGAAAACAAGATACACTCAGATGAGTTTTGAGTTTGTTCATAATGCAGAACGTGATGAAGCAAGTTTAATTTTCCAGCTTAGTGTTTTCAGTTTAAAATGTTGCAATCTAAAGCTAAAATGTTCACCTGAGGCCAAGGACAACACAGCAAACACACCAGGGCCAATGTGTCCTCAGACCTTTGGAATCGCAGTCAGATATCACTGTGAACTGCATGTTTGTGTTTCCCCCCAATCCCTGTGTTGAAACCCTGATCCCCTATAATGGTATGTGGAGGCTGGACCTTGGGGAGGCACTTAGGGTTACCTTAGGTCATGAGGACAGAGCCCTTGCGATGGGACTAGTGCTCAAGGGAAATGAAGAGACCATCTTTCCCTTCACCATGTGAGGATGTAACCAAGTACCCTCATTTTTCTAAGAAAAAGAGAACGAGTTACTACTTTTTTCTCTTTTCTCCATTTTCCAGTTTCCCATGTCCTACTTAGCCCTTTAGAAATGCAATTATAATTGTTTACCTCTCCTTCACCAGACACTCCCTACAGGGCAAGGCCGTCTAACTATGTGCTTCCAAGCTCCAGTGAAACTCTTTCTCACCAGGAGACTGCTCGGGAGACAACAGTCAACTTACAACCCAAATTATGCCTGCTAAACAACTCTCCCCAACCTGGAGATATGACAGAATTGACACCAAACACGGACATGGCAGTTACATCAATAAAACTGGATGAGCTTAATTTGCCTATTAAAAAAAGATTATACTCAGATTGGCTTGTATAGCAAAACCTCAACTCTATGCCGCACACAAGACACACACCAAAAATGCAGTCATTGAAATAGCTAAAAATAAAGGAATGAACAAAAATGTACCAGACAAATGGAAACAGTAAGACAGCAGGCATTGCAACCCTGATACCGAAGTAGAGACTTCAAGCCCCAAACAAAAAACATAAAAATGGCCCTTGGGCATATAAAAGAATAGCTCACATTATTCATAAGATAAATACAACTTAAAATTGTACTGAGATTGTACTCTTCCCCACCCATCGGATTAGCCACAGCAAAGTCTCTCAAAATCTCATTAATCTTTTTGGCCCGGGCAACTAGAATTCTGTAATCGAATTCTGTCCACAAAGACACTGACTCAATCGCCTGGTAGATAACGCACCAAAACGAGTACAGGGACCCCCACCGGCTTGCTGCCTTCCCTGCATGTTATTCGTGCCAGGCCCTCCTTTTAAAAGTGCCCACTTGGCTGGGGGCAGTGGCTCATGCCTGTAATCCCAGCACTTTGGGAGGCTGAGGCGGGCAGATCACGAGGTCAGGACATCAAGAATATCCTGGCCAACACGATGAAACCTCGTCTCTACTAAAAATACAAAAATTAGTTAGGTGTGGTTGTGCGCGCCTGTAGCCCCAGCTACTCAGGAGGCTGAGGGAGAATTGCTTGAACCCAGGAGGTGGAGGCTGCAGTGAGCTGAGATCGCCCTACTGCACTCCAGCCTGGGCGACAGAGCGAGGCTCCTGTCTCAAAAACAAAAACCAAAAAACTGTGCCCACTTTCTGCTCCAAAAGTGAAGCAATATCCTTAAGGCAGGAAGCCTGCACGTCTTCCCCCAAGCTAGCTTTGGAATAAAAAGTCATTTTCTTTATACCATTTTCTCACTCTTAATTGGATTCGGCAAGCAGCAAGTGACTGAACCTGCATTTCTGTTACAGGGACACAGCCAGGAGGCTGCCATCTGTGAACCAGGACAGGGCCCTGGCCAACTTGACTGTGCTGGCACCTTGATCTCCTACATCCAGCTTTCAGAACTGAGAGACAGAAGTATTAAAGCCCCCCAGTCTATGGGATTGTTACAGCAGCCTGAACTAACAGAAGGAGACTTTCCCAATAAAAAATTATGTACACACGACATTATTTTAAACTACAGAGCTGTGGTTCTCAAATGTGATTGACTTTGTCCCCTAAAAGACATCTGGCAATGTCCAGAGACACATTTGATTGCCAGTGGGTAGATGCTGCTAAATAAATATCCTACACTGCTCAGGAAAACTCCCTTTGACAAGTAATTATTCTCCACAAAATGTTAGTAGCATTCAGGATAAGAAACCCTGCTTTGGCCGGGGGTGGTGGCTCACACCTGTAATCCCAGCACTTTGGGAGGTCAAGGCAGCTGGATCACGAGGTCAGGAGATTGAGACCATCTTGGCTAACATGGTGAAACCCTGTCTCTATTAAAAATACAAAAAATTAACCGGGTGTGGTGGCAGGCACCTGTAGTCCCAGCTACTTGGGAGGCTGAGGCAGGAGAATAGCCTGAACCCGGGAGGCGGAGCTTGCAGTGAGCTGAGATCACGCCACTGCACTCCAGCCTGGACGACAGAGCGAGACTCCGTCTCAATAAAAAGCAAACAAACAAACAAAACCAAAAAGAACAAAAAGAAACTCTGTTTTACAGATAACAATCAGCTGTCTTAATTTTTATTTCCCTGGAACTTTTCCCTTTGTCTCTCATTTGGGTCAAACTTGAGGGCCAAAATATGGAAGCAAAATATTTTAGATCAAGTAAAGACTGTAAATGAGGTCTAGGAAATATTTTGCCAGCACTGGGAGACACAAGTTGGCCCTAACTTCCTACTCAGACTTGCAATTAATACATAATAGGTGTGGGTACTCAACATGAGAAGATTTCTCACTGGGTACCCACAGTTCTTACTGTAGGTCAGTAAATGGTCAACATTGTTACCATAGAATCATTCACACCAGCACAATGGTGCTCCTCCAAGAATGTATTTATTTACATGAAAACACCATTTTATACAAATTGAAGACACATCTTAAAGAAGGGTTTGTCCAGGCATGCCTTCCTCCTTCCCTTATATTGCCACTTCCATTTTCATCTTCTGTTGTATCATAAATAAAACTTCAGACTGGTTAAAGAAAATTGAATCTGCCTCTTCTCTCCCCACCAAGAATTACTTTGACTGTTTAATGTCTGAAGTCATCCTTCAAAGAAAAGTCTTGCCCAGGGTTATTTTATTTAATTTATTTATGTAATACAGTGTAGAAAGCGATCATGTCATAAGCAATGATTCTGTACAATCATCCTGCAGAAATTTTTTTTGGAGAATTCTTGGTAATTTAAGACCAGCAGAGCACCCCTCCCCACCCGCCCCGTAAAAGTGCTTACAATGAACAGGGATTCTTTTCTTTATCAAAGACCCAAAGATACGTGGACAAAAAAAAAAGCTCGAAGTCTCAATGCCTAATGTGTGCACATAAAACAGGCACAAAGAAACAAACGTGTATCCTCTTAATTCCTATATCACAAATATAGCAGAAGCAGCAATCTGTACAGTAAAATGCAATCGTGGAAAAAAATCTCTCTAAAGCATCTGAAATACTTAAAAATGTTTAACTTTAAAATGCATAGTGATCAGGAAAGGAATACTTAGGCAAGAGAAGCAGCTAAACTCCCACGTTCACATGAAGCATCCCCCATCGATTCTTAAAGCATATGTAAAGTAGGACTTAATTGGGTCACAAACCACAAGAATAATATACAACTGGCTAAGGGGCTATGTGATAAATAATCAGGAGAGAATCTATTCATGCACTAGTTTGATACAGCTAAATTCTTTACAGTACACAAAACCCATTAATAATGTAGTGTAGAGACCAAAATGTAAAGAGAGAGAGAATACATTACTGATTTGTGGATTAATTCAAGTTCAGGCATCTACTTGTGTTACAGCACAGCTGTCAAAAGGCGATAATGAGTAAATCATAAAACAGAGGGGTTTGTTTCTTCCGACAGTATTCTATAAATGGACACCGATGGGTAGTGAAGCAATGGTTTTGCTGTCCAACTTCAGAGGCTGCTGTGGCGGGGGTCTAGTTCTGCATCTGCTCAAAGAACTTGTAGGTTGGATTTTCATAGCCGTTCTGCTGCATCTTGGACAGGTGGCGCTCCTCTGGGGTGACAGCGGCGTCAACCTGAAAAACAAGGAAGAGGAGAGCTGAGTAAAAAATAAAAATCAATCCTTTAAGGGTGAACATGGAGAAGCAGTAAAAAGATAAGGAGTACAGTACTCTTCATTGCAGAACACCCATGATTTTCTCCCCCACTTTGACATCTTGGAGAACACCTTTGCCCACCAGTTATACAGATGCTGTGCTCCATCTAGCCACCAGGTGGCGGTGGAAACCTTGGTGCGCTTATGAGGTGTCCAGTGGTGGTTTCTGGTTCCCCAGCTCTACAGTAAGTGGATAAACCCAGTGCAATGGTATTTTTTCCTCCCCTGTTGGCTCAATAAAGGACAAATGGTGTCAATGAAAGCCTGTTTTACTTGGAAGTGTTTTGGTAAGATAGATAAAACCACAAGAATATCAAGGAGGGAGATTCAGCAAAATATACTGTATCTTGGGTGACACTCAAATCTGTGTAGAAAAATACCCGATTTCCTAGACTGCTGAATATCTTCCCATGCTGATTTTAGTCTAGCCCGTTTCTATCAAATTTTATGTTTGTTAAAATGTTAAAGAGAGGTTTGAGAATCATTTAATTAAACAATAACATACATATGCCAAAGGGGGCTATTATTTGGCAGAAGAAAAAAGGAAGAGCAAGGATGACACCATTCTAGATTATGTAATTTTTAAAAAACTGAGAATTAAGATACTATAGAATTATGTTCAGCTAAAAGTTTAAAATCAGACCCTCTCTGTTAATATGCTGCTTTACCTCTAACTAAGGTGAGGCCAGTAATTGAAGACGTTTTCCTCCCCGAGTCACTGTTAGAGCTGTGTAAGGAATTTACTCTCTGCAGGTTGGACAGGGTACTTACCACTACAACGTGGGCAGTGGCTGTTCTTGTTTTACTATATTTGTTATACCTCTCCCTGTTCACAGAAGACAGGAGGTCCTTAACTCTGCTGAATGAGTAAAGGCTTACTTTTTTGTCTGTTAAAATTCCTTTTTTGTAAAACCATGGTAAGATGGAAGAGAGTAAATACAAAATCATCAGAATGAAAAGACATGTTTTCCAGAGAAAAGTTCGGATGTACCATACAGAAAATAGTCCTTCAAAGGATAGTCCCTAGAATGGGCTGCTCATTCATCTCTGGGAGAATACTTCAGGCCCATTCCTCCTTGCTGAGTGTTGCTAAGTGACATTCCCCCACTTATGCAGCTTTTCCCCCTACACACCCTGTCTGGCACAGATCTGAGCCTACACAGCAATGCCCCTGAAGCCAAGGAAGAAAAAGTACCAGTGAGGACGTGATGTCAGCAGTAAGACATGAGGTCTCAAGATGGAGCTAGATATGTCATGACTAGACCACACTGGCTGATAGTAATTCAGACTAAAAGATCTGTCAATATAGTTGGGTGCGGTGGCTCACGCCTGTAATCCCAGCACTTTGGCAGGCTGAGGTGGGTGCATCACTTGAGGTCAGGAGTTCGAGACCAGCCTGGCCAACACGGGGAAACCTTGTCTCTACTAAAAATACAAAAATTAGCCAGGCGTGGTGGTGCACACTTGTAATCCCAGCTGCTCCAGAGGCGGAGGCAGGAGAATGGCTTGAACTTGGGGGACCAAGTTTGCAGTGAGCCAAGATTGTGCCACTGCATTCCAGCCTGGGTGACAGAGTGAGACTCCATCTCAAACAACAACAACAGCAAAAACAACAACAATAACGCAAAACAAAACAAAACAAAAAGGCCAGGCATAGTGGCTCACAATCCCAGCACTTTTGGGAGGCCAAGGTGGGTGGATCACAGGGTCAGGAGTTCGAGACCAGCCTGGCCAACATAGTGAAACCCCATCTCTACTAAAAATACAGAAAAAAATTAGCTGGGCGTGGTGGCATGTGCCTATAGTCCCAGCTACTCTGGAGGCTGAGGCAGGAGAATTTTTTGAACCTGGGAGGCAGAGGTTGCAGTGAGCCGAGATCGCACCACTGCACTCCAGCCTGGGCAACAGAGGGAGACTCTGTCTCAAAAAATCTGTCAATATAATCAGGTCCCCCATGGTCCCTTTGTACAGCCCCCCTTCATGAAGTGATTGACTCTTTTCAGTCTGGGAAGGAGGTGGAATGACTAGCAGTGGCTCATCCCAAGGCAGCTGGAATAGGTGGATACACAGCTCCCTTGCCCTTGGGACAGAGTGTTCCCTCCATCACGTGCCCTGATTCGTTTTTTTTTTTTTTTTTGAGTTGAAGTCCTGCTGTGGTCGCCCAGGCCGGAGTGTAATGGTGCAATCTCGGCTCACTGCAACCTCTGCCTCTGAGGTTCAAGTGATTCTCTTGCCTCAGCCTCCCGAGTAGCTGGGATTACAGGCACCTGCCACTACGCCTGGCTAATTTTTGTATTTTTAGTAGAGACGGGGTTTCACCCTGTTGGCCAGGCTGGTCTTGAACTGACCTCAGGTGATCTGCCTACCTCGGCCTCCTAAAGGGCTAGGATTACAGGCGTGAGTCACCACGGCCACGTGCTCTGATTTTCAAGTTCCCATTTATGGAGAGACTGTGTGCCACTGTGAATCCCTCCAATCTACCATCCTATGGCTCAGAGCTGCCTGAGTTCCCCTGCAGCCAAACTCTCCTGTTACTCCAATGACAGACCTAGGCATCTCCCCTTAGCACATTCCCACCAACAAGCTCTAACCAAGGCCAGTCCTCAGAGGACACTACTCGAATGGATGCTCAGCTTCCCTGTCCCTCTGGGAGCAAATCACAGATGTTTTCCTCATCCTCTCCTCTTTCCTTTGATCTGCACTGTTGTCAACAAATGAGGTCACCTGACTTTAACTGGTAACTGTGTAATTAGCCTCCAACTTGTAAGTTAAAACACCATGGTTAAAGATTAGCACCAATCATGAGAGATTTCATTCACCCTGTAAATCTGCGTGCCAGGAGACAGCCTACCTGCAGCAGTATGCCATTCGAACTTGGGCATCATTTCTGCTCCCCGCCACCTCGTAACTGACATCTCAAAGAATGCCCAGGTTAAAAACAATGATCTTGCTTAGGAGATCAAGCACAAAGCCGCTACGTTTCTGACTACAGAAGAAAGCCCCCATGCTGCTTCATTGTTGGAATATTACGCTTTCATCTCTTCCAGGAGGCACATCCACCACCACACTCGCTGTCAACAATCATTTGCATGCGTCAGGGGCAGGGGAACACCTGGCAATTTGATAGGTTTCTCTCCCCTTCAAACTCCAAAGCCAAATACTTGAGTCCCCGGCTAGAGAGGCGAGGCTCCAAGGCTGGTGCACCATCCAGGCCTCTAACTCTCCTGTCTTTTCTTGGCTTCTGTTTCGCTACTTGCTAATCCTATTACCTTTTGCCACTGAGAGGACAGTTACATTGTGCCATTCCTGCCATGGGGCAGCTTGGCCCTCAGACCTCAGAGGGCTCAGGAGCTACAGGAGAAGGGATTATCTTGACAAAAGGGCATTCAAGGAGTATGGATTGGATCTTTAATCTCTAAGTCCTTGAAAGCTAGATGTGAAAAACTGAGTACTCATGTCTATGGATAAAGTTACTGCTAAAGGAAGAGCAGCAGGTAAGGGTAGCCTTCCTCTCCAGCAGGCTCACCAATCTCTTCCTCACTGCTAAGCTACAGCAGTGGTAAGGCCACCAGGTGAAGGCCAGCCCCACCATGCCCCTGTGCAGACAGGGCCTCTGCATGGACGCAGTATTATTTCTCTTAAAGCAGAGCCAGGGGAGGTTTGAGCCCATGGTGCTTGTTCTGGAAGGAATAAGACAATGAAGTTGGCCAGGCGCGGTGGCTCACGCCTGTAATCCCAGCACTTTGGGAGGCCGAGAGGGGCGGATCACGAGGTCAGGAGATCGAGACCATTCTGGCTAACA